AACAGGCAGTGGGTGATTGCGAAAATTGACTAACACCATAAATGTTCCCTGATTTTCTTTCTGCTTAGGTGACATATCTGAGGCACTGGTCATCCTGTGATTTTGTTTGTGCAATGCAGCTTTCTGGAAAGACACTTCAAAGCCTCTGATGCTGATATCAGACTGTTGGTTTGCTTTTCTGAAGAATGCCCAGCAATCAGTCATGGGCTTAGCTAGTTGAGTGACTGTTCAACTAACCACTTGATAAGATCTAACCCAGTTCCTGGTGGTCTATTTGCATGCCTGGTGTGGGGGAAACTTGACTGACTGGCATACTTCAAGGTGGGATATTCATCAGCCACCCCCACACTGGACATCAGCAGTAATCTCTTGTGAGCTGGCACTGGCTTCTCTTTTGCTGAGAAGAGGGAAGATGGCAAAGGGCTTGTGAAAGGGACCAAGAGAACTGCATGTTCTTGGGAATCTAAAATACATAATGAGGCACCAAGATGATAGGGACTCCAAAAGGACTTATGTTCTTCTAGGACAGGGTCTCTGGCCCAGCTGCTTACCATCTCACCCTCAGAACACCAGAGTCACATGCCCACTCATCAGCATTTCAGTCACCGATCACATGTGATGACAGTGGTACCAATGGGCTCCTGGGTATGCAGCATGTGGGACAAGTGAGGTTTGTGTAACTGGATGCCAGGATATCACCACAGAGAAGAAATCTTCTAATGATGCATTTCTTAGAACTTATCCCCACGTCAAATATTGCATGGCCATAGACACAAATTTGAGTGAAGGAGAGGAAACTCTCCAAGATTTCTTGACCAGGAGAGCAGTCCTCAAACTGTTGTGTATATCGGAATCTCCTGGAGGGTCTGAGATAGCTCTGGGATCCTGGGCCCCCAACCCAGAGTTTGTGATTCCCGAGGCCTGGGGTTGCTGCTATGTCTCTGACCACACTGGGAGTAGAACATCTTTAAGGTGAGTAAGAAACACTGGGGAGAAGTTGAACCCAGAGACTCTGATCCAACTGGTACAGGGTAAGGGTGACCAGGAATCTGCTGGCAGTCTGCAAATCGTCAGAACCCAAGACCATTGGCCGGCTGCCTCGCTGCGGACTCAGTCAGATACACCCTTGAAAAGTCAAATCCCATGCCCAGGCCAGCTGGGCGCTGATACCCAGTGATGATAGATGATAAAAGAGTTAAGTTCCAAACACTCTAGTCTAAATATGAAGCATGCAGATTTTAACATTTGTTTTTTGAGGAAAGCTCCCTGTGTTATTATTGAGAGTCCTTTTCTTCCTCAAAAGGGCATTGCAATGGATGAGTCTTGAAAGCATTAAAGTGAAAGTCAATCACCAAAAAACACAGATTATATGGTTTACTTTATAAAATATCCAGAATCTGACAAAAGAGAAAACACCCCAGTGGTTTTACAAGCTTGGGGTAGCGGGTGTGGTGGTCTAAAGATGTGACAGTTACATGGCATGGGACATTTTTGGGTGTATTCAAATGTTCCCAGATGAAACTTATTTATCTGTGTTGCTCTGTAAATATGTAAAGTAATACTGCTTTAAAGGACTGCTTTAAATGGTTGAATTGTATAGAATGTGGATATACTTGATAAAGCCAGTAAACCCCCAAGGCATATTTGAAAAAAATATTAAGCAACCCAGCCGAAAACTGGGCAGAGGATTTGGAAGGCACTTTTCCGCAAAGGACCTGTTGATGACTCACAGGCCATGAAAAGATGTTCAACACTATTATTAGAGAAATGCTAATCAAAACCACCACTAGGTAGCACCTCATACTCATCAGGATGGCCCATATCAACAACTTGTAAATCACAAGTGTTGGTGGGAGAATGGAGAAAAATAAATCCCTTGCACTGTTGCTGGGAATATCAATTGGGGAAACCATTTGGAAAAATTATGGAGTTTCCTCGAAAAGGTAAAGAGTTACCATATGACCCAGTAATCTCATCTCTGGGTATGGAACCAAATAATATGAAAAAAAAAAGCAGGTGGAAAAGTTATACCCACCCCAGTGCCACTGCTGCACTATGTACAACAGCTAATATGTGGAAACAACCTAATTTCCTCTTAATGTATAATTGGATTAGGAGGATTGGTCACTATGGGTGACCCATAATGACACCAGCATTATGGGTCACAATGCTGCTGGCATTGGCATCTTCCCATGTGATATGTGGGAAGTCAGGTGGGTACTTTGAGGACTTTGGTTCTAGGTCTGTCACTGGAGGTGCAGGAGTGTGTTAGGAATAGCCAAAAGCTGGTCACAGTCCTGATAAGGGGTCTCTATGGGGAGTGGGAGGATTAAGGACAACTTCAGGTGCCAACAGACACACTGGAATGCTTAGTGGGGCCCCCAGCAGAATCCACCAGATACACTGGGGCTAGAGTTGTTGCTGAGGCTTCTGATTCTGCTTCCATGTTGTGGACGCAATGATGGGACCAGAGGCTAAGAGTCCATGCAGTTGGGCTGGTAGAGGACTTGGACAGCACCAGGATATGGTGGGGGGCCGGAAAAGGTGGTCTGGCTTTCTCAGTAAAGTCTACAGACTCCCCACTCAAGAACCACCAATAGCTAACCACTAGATTCCTAGAGATATAAGCTCATAGTCTGACTAAGAAGCTTCTTCGATCTCCTTTGTGTGGTGGGAATAGAGAAAACCAAAGAGAAGCAACTGTCCTAGTCAACCCACTGATGGTGCCCTCCCTCCTACCACCGAGAGGCTCATCTCTCTATTCGAGTCATGAGCTATGTCAAAGAAGTTGTCAAGAGTCGGGGGAGGCGATGCAATAGTACTGCCCTCTAGGAGTCTATGGCCTAAAGGGGCAAGGCGAGCCTTAAGCAGATCATTTGCCATATAGGGATCACCTGCTACGACATCTGCTCATCACTGTGAGTTCTGGTTGGATTCTAGGATCTCTTCCGTGAGACTCCAACTAAAGACACACCCACCGTAAAGTAGCACACACGGAAATTTTATTTATCACACTTCATATTGCACAGAAATGAAAATATCAATACTTTCCATAAACATTACTCAATTGACAGGATGTTCTCGGATGGGTTTACATTAAAAGTTTCTAAATGAGACCTTGTAAGCACATCTAATATGAACAGTTCTCAGTTAACACTTCGGACCTTCAAAGGCATACACTATGAAAAGGAGGCAAGCTGGGCAGGCAATCAACATGTATTTGTTATGCCACATTGGATTTTTGATGTCAAGTTTTCCACAGCATCTTTATTCTACAGTGTGACATTTTCGACTCAACATGAACTCATGGGGGTGGACAATTATGATGAGATATGATTCGGTTTCAGAGTTTAAAATGTGATTAAAAAACCCCCATTGAAGCTTTGTCAACCTGAAATTTGGTTGAAATCTGTGTTGCACTGTTTTCTTTTTCTCTTACACTAGGCCACATAATATACTGGGGAGGGAGTCCTGGATTTTGGTCCAGATGCTGTAACTCAATATCCCAGTCACCCTGACAAACTGCACTGTCTCTGGGGTTCATGTGTCATGTGTGTGTAAAAGAACAAACAGGAACATGCAGAGGGAAGAGAGAGGATTTGGCCAAATGAACTCAAAGATCACTTCTAGCAAAATTCTATTAGGTTGAGTAAAGGCCATTTAATTTCAATATACAGGCCACTGTAAAGTGAACTAAACTGGCATGTTCTTTTTTAGCTAAGCATTGTAAGTACTTTAAAACACAACCAAATAAACAGCACCCCCTCTGACCCTTCTCCAACTATAATACCAGTAACTCAATCTGGAATACTTTTAGCCACTGAGATTTAAGCTAATTCTTGACCTGAGCCACTGTCTACATTTTCTTATTTGGTTACTTTAAGTCATTCAACAGACCTATCTTTGACAAGAAAGCAAAATCTTAGAGTGACCCTTTGAGCACAGAGCCAGGAGTCAGTCCCAAGCACTGCCGCCAGGTGTGTCCCCAAAACCAAAGGAAAAAAAGTCATTTCAAGAATTGCCTCTAGTTGGAGACCTAAGTACAAATGGCCTAGCTGGCAGAAAATGATCGAATTTTATCCTTCCCAGGACTTTCCTGAGGCCCACGTCCCATTATAAGATTACAACCGCAATGGTCAGAAATGGAAGTTATTTCTGATGCTCTCAATAGCTTCACAAAACAAATTGCCAGAGGGGTTGCATTAGAAATAAAAAAAATCAATTCTAGATAAATGCAGAGCACACAGAAGCCTCCAAATCGGCCCGAAAGAACAGTTATATTAATCATTTAGTTATTTAAAGGCAGGCTGGAAGAGATGGAGAAATACTTTCCTAATGTCTGCAGAATGGGGTCATCATTTCTGTGCGGGGTACATCTTATCAAAATAACATCCTGAGCAAAAAGAAACGAGAAAACTGCCGCTCCCCGAGCCTGGCAACCTGCCTGCCCATTATCTCGCCCTGGCACTGAAGTTGGAGCAGGCAGCAATTAGATATGACTGTCGGGAAGAGAAATTGGAAATGAAAAGCTTTTCTCATAGGCTATCAAAGGCAGAAAAACTCCCGTCGGCTCCAGGTTCCACGCGGCCCGGCCTGAGAACAGGAAGGGAGCACTCGGCAGGGGTGGGGAGGTGGGAGCACTCCCCTGACCGAGGCAGGTCAAAGGCGCCGCTAGGGGCGCGAGGCGCGCAGGGGACCCCGCGCAGGGCCGGCACCTCTGGGGTGAGCGCCACAGGGGCGCTGCCCCGCGCAGCCGCTCCTGGCTGTGACCGCGCAAAGTCGCCGCCTAATCCCCGCTCACGCGCGTTCATTAAGGGGCTCCCCCAGGCGGAAAGTCTCCAGCCAGGAATCAGGGGGCCCCCTGCCCCCCCGCCGCGAGCCCCTGCCAGGGGCCCGGGTCTTCTCCGCTCTGTGCCCCTCCCAGTCTCCCTCGACCAACTCCCTAGTTGCGTGAGCCGCGGCCCGTCCCCGAGGCGGCTGCCGGGGTCCGAGCCCGCTTCCTCCCGCTTGGCGGCCCTTGGCCCTAGGGTGGCGCTGGGCGGGGCGGCCCCACGCCGAGGCCGCGCTATTCCTGTCGCGGTGAGCTACGGGCATGTTATGTGCGGCGTCCAATCACGCCTCCGACCCGCCACGCTGACCCGCGCCCCCCCCTTCTCTAATCCCCCAGGCTTTGATGTGATCCTCGGCGCGGAACACGCTCACCCCCCTGCCCCGCGGCCAGTTGTCCCCGCTGTCGCAGATGCCCGCAGAACCCGTCCTCCTCGTCCACCCCGGGAGGTCAGAACGCTCTCCCTGCACTCCCGGGCGGCCCCTGAGCCGGGCCACGTCTGCACCTCGGGGCCGTCGGAGATCCAGCAGGTACCCTGGCTTGGCCCTTCCAGGTGATGGTGTGTGGCCACCACGGCCCTTGGTATGCCTTTGGGGGCTCCCCGAGCTGGGACCGGGAGGGAGCTTTGGCCCACGCACTGGGAGCCTCAGAAACCAAAGCCTGCACCCCCACCCCCGCGGGAGACTCCACCCTCCGTGGCCTCCTTTCCTAGGGGCTTCTGAAAACCGTTCCCAATGAACTTGCTCAGAGGACACGGGGCGACCCGCAGTCCTGGAGGCAGGAGCCTTGAGCTTGAAACTGAGCAGGCTAAGACGGGCGCCTGCTAGGGGCTCCGTGCCCTGCTGCTCCCCGTCCGGCGCGGCCGTTTCCCACGCTGGGCACCATGAGTTACTTCCTCTCGTACTGCAAAGCGCACGGCGGCGCGCTGCTCACCGGCTACCAGGCCCTGCGAGCCGAGGGCTTCCTGTGCGACGTGACGCTGGAAGCCCAGGGCACTGAGTTCCCGGCGCACCGCTCTCTCCTCGCATGCTCCAGCGACTACTTTAGGGCCCTGTTCAAAAGCCACACCCGGGAGTCCCGGGAACGCGTGATCCACCTGCACGTGCCGTCGGCGGCCGGCCTGCAGCGCCTGCTGGACTTCATCTACACAGCCTGGCTGCCACTCTCCCTGGACACCTTGGAGGACACGCTGGAGGCTGCCAGCTACCTGCAGGTCACCGAGGCCCTGGGGCTGTGCGGCCGCTACCTGGAGCGTCAGCTGGCCCCTGACAATTGCTGCTTCGTCGCCAACGTGGCGGCGCGCTTTGGGCTGACGCACACCCTGGGCGCCGCCGAACGCTGCATCGTGCGCCATCTGCGGGACCTTATAGCCCGGGGCCCGGGGCCCGCGGGCCTGCTGGAGCTCAACCCTGCGTCGTTCAAAGTCGTATTGGGCGCCCCAGAGGTGACGCGAGTGCCTGAGGCTCGGCTCCTCGGCCTGGCTCTGGCCTGGCTAAGGCAGGAGCCCCAAGCCCAACGCCTGACGCACTGCAACGAGCTGCTCGAGCGCATCCGCTTCGGCCTGGTGCCCGCCCATCTGCTGCGGCGCGTCTACTCGGGCAGCGGCCTGGTGTTGCCCACCCGCATCAAGTGCCTCATCATCCAAGCCCTCAACTACCACACGGCGCCTTCCCGCCAGCCGCTGCTACAGGGCGAGCAGACGAGCGTGCGGAGCCCCCAAACCCGCATCCTGTTGCTCGGGGGGCGCAGGGCTCGGGAGCTGGCGGCGGAGGAGCTGCAGGCCCGGCAGAGAGCGGCGGCGGCGCGTAGGGTCCCTGCCCCGGAGCCCGAGGCAGCGGGAGAGGGAGACGAGGAGGAGGGGGAGGAGGGAGAGGAGGAGGAGGAGGAGGAGGAGGAGGTGGAGGGAGAGGTGGAGGCGGGCCCGGAGGAAGAGGACGAGGTCAGGGAGGAGGAGTGGGAGCTCACCCGAGACGTGGTGGCCTTCGACGTGTACAACCATCGCTGGCACAGTCTCACGCGGCTGCCAGCGCCGCTGCTGGGGCACTGCGTGTGCGTCGTGGGCAATTTCCTGTTCGTGCTGGGCGGGGAGAGCCCATCGGGCGGGGAGTGTGCACCCGGGGCCGCAGGCCCGCGAGCGGTCACCGCCCACGTGCACCGCTACGACCCGCGTTTTCACGCCTGGACGGCGGTGCCCGCGATGCGGGAGGCGCGGGCCCACTTCTGGTGCGGCGCCGTGGCCGACGGGCTCCTGGCCGTGGGGGGTCTGGGCGCGGGCGGCGAGGCGCTGGCCTCGGTGGAGAGATACGACCTGCGCTGGGACCGCTGGACGGAGGCGGCGGCGCTGCCCCGGCCCCTGCACGGCCACGCGGGCGCTGTCGGGGAGCGCGGCGCGGTCTACATCTCCGGCGGCAAGGCCGGCGGCGGCGAGGCCGGCGGGAACAGCCTCCGGGACGTGTACGTCCTGGGCTCGGGGGAGCACGCGTGGAGTAAGAGGGCCCCCATGGGCACCGCCCGCTTCGGGCATCACATGGCAGCGCTGCGCGGCGCGGTGTTCGCCTTCCTGGGCCGCTACGAGCCCTTCTCCGAGATCGAGCGCTATGACCCCGCCAGCGATCAGTGGACTCGCCTGCGGCCGCTGCCCTACGACCGCTTCTGCTATGGGCTGGCGGTGGTGGAGGAGACAGCGCTGCTGTTGGGCGGCCTCAAGTGGCGGGACTCGCACCAGGTGCCCACCCGCAACGTGGTGGGCTACGACCTGGACCTGGACCGCTGGGAGGACATCGGCTGCGAGCTGCCCTGGGCCTGGAGCGGCCTGCAGTGTGCAGTGCTGCAGCTGGCCGAGGGCGCGGATGACGGGGACCAAGAGTCCGCAGAGGCGCCCGACCTGGCGCTGGACTTCACAGGCTAGGGCCACCGAGGAGTGGCAAGAAAGGAAGCGGCTCTGGACCAGGTGCAGAGCAAGCGACGCCTGGGGGTCGCCGGCAGCTCAGGGTTGAAGGCGGCAAACGGTTGCCCTTCAGTGGAGAATGGGGGAGCGGAGGGGTCAAAGCAAAGGAACAGGAAGCCGCTCCGCGAGTGGAGGGTTTATAAGGGCTCAGGTGGGGTGAGAGATGGATTTTCCAAACAAAATCGTGGCCCCATTTCCCTAGATTAAAATAATTCGTTAAGAGCTTGACAGTGATAACTTTTGCGCCAAACAAGCGAAAAAGGCCAGAAAAACAGGGCCACAAGACGCTACACACAGAACAGACGATTGTTAGTTTTAAAGGGTGCAATAGTCATAGAGATCGTAGTCATCTGAATAAAGAGGGGAGGGCAAGTGCCCTGGTAGACAGCTGCAACTTCCGGGAAGAGCCTATAGGTCTGCTCTGATGGGTGGAATAATGGAAATGAGATGGAAAGAAGTCTCAAAGGAAAGCGCACCTTCACCCTTTCTTTGGGGGAGAAAATGATCCCAGATTAAGTCCCCACCCCCTCGTCCCTACTGCTAGTTTGCTTTGGATCTGGCTTTAGGCTTTGAGTTTCATTTCATTTCCTTGGAGGTTCATCACAACTTCCAGTCAAGATTTGTGTAAGCTTAAGTATGCGGATGACTATCTCTTTTTTGTCTTTCAAAATTGAATGCTTATTGAAGCAACCCTTGGCCTTAAAACTCAAGCTCCTCTGGCTAAATGGATCTAACAAAACCAAACAAAACCCTATTTCTTTCATCCTCTTTAAATGTTGATTCTACTGTAGGGTAACAGTTGTAAAAAAAAAAACAAAGCCTTAATTTTTGCCAATCTCTTCTCCTCTGCACCCCCTGCGTTCCCCAAAGCATCAGAGAGAAAGGAAAAGGAATGAAAGGTTGAAAGTTTGCTTGAGATCAGTGGGAATCCAGTTCAGTTTGGGGTGTCCGAGAATGCGTCTGCATACACTGAAACAGCTGCCGCTCTGGGCTTGTGCCACCAACCTGGTGAAGTTAGAACTGGGCCCTGGGATTGGGAGGGGAGAAGGTGGCCATGTGATCAGGTCACAAAGCAAGGTGGTGAGCGCTCTGCGTGAATAAAGCAGGTGCTTTCTGGGGCTTCGCGAAGAGCTGAATTGATCAAACTTGAGTTTATAGCACTGCCTCCTAGATTTGAAATGAATGCAATCAAATGTACAGCTATATAGTGTTAAAAGGTCTCTTTCATGCTAGGCTAGCCACGAGTCTTTTGAAAATTCATTAGTTCAATTTTTACCATTTAAAACCACAGAGCTGACTTTACAAAGGTAAAAGTTGCTTAAGAGCGACACAGCCGGATTTTCTATCACGGCTTGCCGCATACAGGGCAGCTGCGGGGCCCAATCAGGCCATGTGCGCACTGCACATCCATCACGTACAGATATTTTTAAGTGAATGTATACATTTGGTCTAGTAAACAGCAAGTCTAAACACCTGTAACAAGCACACTTCAGTTTAGGACAAGAGGTTTTTGTTTTGTTTTTTGTTTTTTTTTTTACATATACAAAATCCCACAAATTGAATGTGTGTCAATATCCATGCAGTAAATAAATGTTTTTTTTTACAAATAGATTTTTTTAAATGATAAAAATATTACACTGGACCCAAAATTCCATACAAACATGAATACATGATTTCGCATCCATTTGACTAAATATAGGATTACTGAAAATGTGCTGTACAAAGGCCACTCTCCTGTACAGTTGTGCAAAGTCTGCAAAACGATAGTGAGTCAATGGTGGTTTCAAAAGCAAAGAAAAAGGTCCCCGCTGTGGAGTTCCCACTTTTTCCTCTACAGCAAAAATATTCACTGGCGTACATCGGAACTCTTAGAGATGAAAGTACATTCACTGAGCTGTACAGGCCACAGTATAAAGCTGATTAGAAGTAGTTTTTAGGATATAGAATAGTCACGGAGGATCCCTCCTCCTCCTTAACAAAACAGCAAAATGTGACTTGTATGTTATGCAGCCAGACACTAAGAAGCAGCACAGTCATTATCATGCTGTGATCACTTTCAAAAACGAGATGCTTATACACGGAAATATGAAGAGGACTTTGTAAGAGACTTCATCCACCCTATGGAACAATTCATGTAGCTAGGCAAAACCTCTATCATTGGTTTCTCTCAGAATTCAGTGAGTCAGATCGCTGAGTGACCGCGATCCTCTACTCCTGAGGAGAGCGGCCCGTCTCCGGTTTTCAACCGTGTTTTCTATAGTGTGACACGTACTGGCTATAACTACATATATTTCACTTCCCTGCCTGATGAAATCACATGCATTTCATCAATGGACTAGGGTGAGAACTGGGAAGTTGATTCATTTCGGTTGATACCTTGCAGTTTTGTAAGCGTTGGTGTTTGAAAACATGAGTCGGGGCTGAAATCATATAGATAATCTGTTAGCTGCCTCTCCGGGTGAGTAAAGTGTGTTTTAAAAAACCACTCTCAAATTCCTCTGTACACAATCAGTATTTCATCGCTACAAAAATAAAGGAAGATTTAAACCAAGAAAATAAAGCAGCTCTATCTTCAGTTTTGGTCTTAGTTACAAAAACATCTTACAAAGCTTTGCCCTGATACACCATTAAGTGTCCCCATTAAGTTTTGGAATACTATTTCTATTAACCAGCTTTCACAAGTTAACAGACTATTAAGACGAATACTAGTTACCTGAACTTTTCTTATGGTGATGCTCTTCTAGTTTGCTTTAACTCTTGTATGCGCATCTACATTTCACAAAAATAAAACTACAGCATTAAACTTTGTGCAATGTTTAAGAAAATTCTTAGATCACTTTAATAAATATAAAAAAGGTTTAAATTCTTTCCCACCCACAAGGATATCTGCATCTGAAAAAATGTGATTTCCTTTTGAAGTCTGTTTATATAAAATTAACTTAAAGGGAGAAAAGATGACCTTAGATAGAAAACTGCCTTTTTTGTTGTTGTTTGACGACTTGAAGACCACCTGTCTTCAGAATTGTTTGCAAAAGTTAATTTTAAGTCATTAAGGACAGTTGATTTTGCACACGGTAAACATAAGCTGAGCACTACCTGCATATAAAATATACAAATGCTCATTAAAGACAGCGGTATTATGACCATATATGGTTTGTTTCATATAGTGTGGTAACACTGAAGTATAGCTTGTCAAGTGTCCCATACATCGATCGAAAGACTACCTTATCTATTTGTTCAATGTACCGGAAGGTACAAGGCCTGAAGGCAGAATACACTTACACATGCGTTTCAATGTATGAATGAGTGTGTGTCAGAGAGGGAGTGATTGCATCTACTTCAGAAGAAATACTTAATGGATCGTTTGAGGTGGTGTTGGTGTTTTGACAGATATCCAAGAAAAGATCAAGGTACATCTGTTTCCACTGTTGGAATTCTTTTGATGTCAAGTCGGGATTGTCTAGGACTTTATCAATAACGGCAACTTCTCCTTCTCTGGCCTGAAAAGCAAAAGGATTCAATAGTCAAGGCAGGGGAAAACTTGTATTTCAGTTTCATATAAAAAATTTAATAGGCAAGAGATGTAGAAGCCCACTGGAGACAGCTCTGGTTTATTCAAATTCAGTCATTTAGAATCAAATCCTCCAGCATGTTCTAGAACTTGGATTTCCACACTTTGTCTCTTCATTTGCTTAATTTTCTTCTTGTCCTATTTTCCATCTTTGCCTTTGGAAATCTTCATTAAGATCCAGTTCAAATGTCTCTCATCTCTTTTTTTTATTTAGCTTTCTGAGTCACACCTGGTGATGCTCAGGGGTTGCTCCTAGCTCTGTACTCAGGAATCACTCCTGACGGTGCTCAGGGGACCATATGGAATGCCGGGATCCTACCTGGGTGGGCCACATGCAAGGCAAATGCCCTACCTGCTGTAGTGTCTCTCTGATCCCCTGTCTCTCATCCCTTAAATCTACCCTTCAGCTATCGGGGGAAAAAGTGTTTTCTCCTTAGTCAATCCCCCATGGCCACCACTCCCTTTGGTCGCTTTACACAGCAGTAGACGAAACACATTCTTTCTTGAGGGATTTTTGCATTTTCCTGTATCTCCTGGTGAGTCCCTCAGCCAGCACCCAGCAGGAGAGGCCATGGCCCTGCTGTGATCACAGATATATGTTTCTTGCTGTGAGAATGTATGGTTTCGTTCTGTAGCACTGAGGCCTGAAAGGAAATATGGCCCTCGCTTCTATGCTAGTTCTCAGTTAAGAACAAGTTTCATTATGGTATAGTTGACCACAGCAGTGACAGCTTGTGGAAGCAGTGTGTCTCAGGCTGGAGTGGGAAGGGAGGAGGAGTGGGGAAAAGCAAAGTTCCTTCCTGTCTTAGATGAACCCAGGAAGGAGCGGGGAATCTGGAAAGTGTGCAGAGAGTGACATGGCCCATTTCCAGGCCAGTCAGAGTTGGGAGGGAGAGAAGACAACATGCCTAAGCATCTGGACTGGATCCTGGGGCGGCTGGAGTCGGGGGGGGGGGGCTTGTTCTGTGTCTCTTTAAAAAATGTTGATCTTGGGGCCAGAGTGATCGTAAAGCATCAGACCCAGGTTCGATCCCCAGCCTCCCATATGGTCCTCCAAGCACCGCCAGGAGTAATTCCTGAGTGCAGAACCAGGAGCAACCCCTGAGCATTGCCGGGTGTGACCAAAAAAGCAAAATAAATAAATAAGATGTTTGAAAAAAATGTTGGTCTTAGGCAAAGTTCTTTAAGTTTCCCATGGAGTTGTAAGACCACCAGCTCATTGCTAATTCCCTCTGAAAACTAGACTGTCCACTACCTGAAAAATTTTCCAATCATACATTTGGATTTTCATACTTACCCCTGTTTCAAAATTAGGAAGCTTTGGTAGCATACTATAGATCTGAAATATTTCCAAAAGGAGCCCTTTGACCTTCTGTTTAATGAAATTACTGTGCCACATCCTCAGTCTAATAGTTCTTTTTTGTCTCTGCATTGCCAAGGGTGCAGGTCC